TGTAGTAATGGTGAACTTATAATTAAAATATGGATTTGCTGTCATGCAGTTTAAATTACATTTAAATTTTAACTCATATCTGCTAGGAACTATAATTCAAATTGGATTACTTATGTGTTTAAAAGTATTTATAAGAGACTATGTTTTAAGTAGGGTATGTGGAGTTTGAAGATAAAAATTATCTCATGTATCTTCAAGGGGTATATCGATCTTGCCTACAAACTTTAAAGCAAAGATTTTCATATTTAACTAACTTTCAAAGCATTTCCTGAAGAGATTATTTTGTATGTTAGTGAAATTACTGTGTAATTTCTTCTTTTAAAAAAAGCCTTCGTTTTTCCTCCACACAGTGAACATGGCCACAAGCAGGCTCATAGGGGCTGTGGCTGGCACCATTCTGGCCCTAGGGGTGATTTTTGGAGGCACAGGGTGGGGAATAGAGTAAGCATCCTTATGAGTTTCTGAGTGTCTGTGTTTGATGCCTGGCGTATGAAGTGATGGTTGGAACCTGACCCTTTGATGTTTTTTCTTATTAATTGTTACCTGTGGTGGTGCAGATTGTGATGTGATTTGGATGTATTTATGTCTTGTGGTTTTTCTTGTGCAGTGTAGAACCTTCTCCTGTCTGGAACAATGTGGGGCATAAAACAATGTTGGGGTGCCCATGATATATTCATGATTATGGCAGTAGTCCAAAACTTACTTTGCTCCTCCACTTGAAAAAGCTTACAGACCTTAATTTTTTAAACTATTATTAATTGGCGAAATGCTTTTATGTAAGGGTTTTCATAGAAGTATTATAATGAATTACTTTTTGCCACTCAACTAAATCTATCCACAGAATTAGAAATACCAACACTTTTAGCACTTTTTAAAGATGGTAAGAATGATAGCCACTAATAGTCTCACTGTTTACTTAGAATGACACAGAAGGCTTTGGCTCAACTTTTCAAAAGAAGATATTAAGGATACTGCTTTCATTTTTGTTTTAAAACTGGTCAATAGTTCGATTTTTCAGTTTTCATAAATATTGGAACAAAGAGTATTAAGAACACAAAGATATTAAGTCCAAACCTGCATAATCTTAGGTGAACAGATAAAATTCACCTGGTGGGGTTTTCTTAAAGGGATCCAGCGTGTGAGTCAGTGTGTCGTGTGCCACTTCCCCATAGGCTGTCTCAGAAACCCAGCTTTCCTGGAGCTGTGTTTACACTGCTCTGGGGTGCTTCATCTGTATCCTCAAAATACCTTTAGTTCTCCAGGTCACTACTTTCTGAGATTTCTGATTTGTAAACTAGAAGATATCAGGGTGCATGTGTCTTTCCATTACTTAGAGAATGTTTGTGTATGAAGAAGTCACCTTTCAGAGTCTCTTTTCTATTTACTGGGGTTCTGGTAACACTTCATAGTGACCAAGAAGTGAGTTGCCAGGGTCTCAAGGAGTCACTAGACATCCTTTACTCAGATAGCCCAAGCCACGTGCATCTATACTATCAGCATGGTCCTCGGTTCTACTGGATTCAGGACACAGATGCTCCATAGTGGAGTCAGGATATCTGGGCTAGGTAGGGAGCAGGTAGGGAGCAGATGAACCTGCTCTCCTGTAGATGGAAGGACTGGCCAGACTTTGAGCTTTTCTTTATTATTTTTTGAGGCAGGGTCTTACTGTATTGCTTATTCTCATCTGAACTCACTGTGTAGCCCAGGCTGGCCCTGATCCTGCAGCAGTCCTCCTGCCTTAGCCTTCCTAGTGCTGGGGAGTACAGGTGTGAGCCACCATACCCAGTTTAGCCTTGGGTTTTATAACTCATTTGATCAGTATGGTCTGTGAAGTTAGTTGGCCCAGGAGAAGGAGAATCACTGGAAAAGAGCTCTTGTTTTTCATAAAGAAAGTAAAGTTTATGACAGAGCTAAATTGTGTGTCCTATAAAGTTGCCTCTTAAGACTGTTGGCTAGTGACTGAGGGCCAATTATATATATATGAAATTCTTCCAGGAAGAAGGGTAGTTTTCTAAAGATCTCCCCAAATATGTTTTTTTACACTACTTAATAGCCATAATTTCAGTACTGTCAGAGGTACTAGTAGCTGAAGTGGTGAATTCATCATCCTTCCCTAAAGTCTTAGAGATGGGCAGAATGAAAAAGTCTTTGTTGTGAAACAGTCCTGTTACCAGTCCTTGTTCCACCATCCTCTCCAGTCTTGGTTTGTTGTTCTTTCTGTTTGTGACAGGTAAGTTCTCCATAAGTGTAATATTTTTTCCTAAATATAGATTTGCTATTCTTGCTTTATGAACTGTTTTTCTAGTGGTTTACTGATTTTTCCTTCATATTCCATTTTTCATAATTGCTAAGTAATCAATTAAAAAAAAAATAAAATCAAGCCGGGTGTGGTGACACATACCTTTAATCCCAGCACTCGGGAGACAGAGGCAGGCAGATCTCTGTGAGATCAAGGCCAGCCTTTTCTACATAGCATGTTCCAGGCCAGCTGAGTCTGAGTCTCCTGAGTAGAGAGACCCTGTAAATAAATAAATAAATAAATAAATAAATAAATAAATATTAAAAAGGTAGGATTGTATAGCATAACAAAGTTTCAATACTTCTTGTCTTAGTTGATAGTGCATGTTCCTTTAGTCAATAAGGTTTCCGTGGACAGATTTAATTAAAAAATATTCTCCTTAAGTTTGTAATTCTAGATCAGGAGTCACTTCTCATAAATTATGTTTTAAGTCTGATCCCAACCTGTGTTTTCTGGGCTAGCAAAGTACACATCATCTGGAATATAGAGACCACACATGGTGCTGTGTTTTTTGAGTGTTTTTTGTTTTTTTTTTCAAATTTGATTCACTGAGGAGAAGTGGGGAAGAGCTACATGGACGAGAATAATGTTTCATCAGAGCAGGCATTTGCAAACTTTTTGTAAAGGGCCAGATGGCAATAGTTTTGTCTTCTGCCAAAACTTTTCAATATCGCTATCTCAGCATAAAAAGCAGCCATCAACAGCATGTACGTAAATAAGCATGGCTCTGTTCTGATAAAATGTCTTTGCAAAAACAGGTGATGAGGACAGATGTGGGCTCCAGTTTGCTGACCTTCAAGTTAGAGCACAAGTCTTGAGATCAGACAGATCCGTGTTCAGATCTTGCTTCCATTTCCTATTAACTTTAGCACCCCTATTTCCTCATCTATTGAGCAGAATAGTCCAGGTTCCCACCTCATGTGTTCTCTTGTGAGGACCAAATGAAATGATCTCTGAAATGCTCGAAACTGGATAGACTAAGTGCTCACTCTCCAGTAGCACAAAGGCTTGTATTGCTCTCATTGCTGTTACTCATTGTTATGAAGAGTGATTGTGATTGATGGTCTGTAGACCCTTGGTGATTCAAAAGCATGTCAAGACCCAGGCCCTAGAAGAGATCCCTCTACTGGGACTCCACTGTACCATCCTCCACCTACCCACTTATGCCTATAGTACTGTGTGACTTCTGGGCAAACCGTCATGCACAGTTGTAGTGCTTCCAAAAGTACTCACAGTTGAGGGCCCTGATGTGAGCAGAAAAGAGAATCTGTTATATAGAAATGAATGTCTCTAATGAAACTAACAAAGTTGGCCATGTGACTTATGGACAGGTATGTGTAGTTAGCACAGAAAGTATTGTCTTATTAGGGGCATTGCACCTGCATATCAGCACCCTGGAGGATGTCGAATTTGAAACTGTTCTTAGTTTAAACATTGAAACTAAATGTAACTTTGCTTTAATGTTTTAATGTGAAGTGAAAAATGGGGTTACTGTAATCTCTTACCTTTTTTGTCCTTGCTGTTGTTTCTGAGACAGGGTCTCCCTGTGGCCCCAGCTGGCCTGGAGCTTGCTATGTAGACCAACCTGCCTTGATCTCACAGAGATTCACCTGCCTCTGCCTCCCAAGTGCTGGGATTAAAGGTGTGCATCACCACGCCACCTTGTTACCCATTTTTAAAAGTTGGTAGACACTTCCCCTTCTATTTTCTTTCCTGTTGCTCGTCCCACTTCTTTTATGTCTCTGAGTCTCAAATTTCTCTTAATAATAATTGGGAATTTAAAAGATACTTTAATAGAATGTAAGGAATCATTTTTTCCATTTATTTTTTGCTTTCAAAAATTTTATTATATGTGTCTGTGTGTATTCCGTGCATGTATGCAAGTTTAAGTGCACCTGTTTTGTGCAGTGCCCTCGGAGGACAGAGGGGGAGTTGGATCTCCTCGAACTGGCATTGTGGATGGCTGTTAGCCACCATGTGGGTGCTGGGAATCGAACCTGGGTCCTCTGCAAGAGCAGCCTGTGCTCTTAACTGCTGAGCCATCTCTCCGGCCCCGATTTTTTCCATTTCTTTCAAATTACCCAAATAAGTTTTACATCTCCTCCTTGCCTTGCCTCTTCAAGCCCATTTTAGGAGGTTTAACACTGTAAGAACCAGGAAGAAGTGTTCCAGAGCATGGCTCCAAGACAGATCTTCCTTGGTAGCCTCCTTTCAACTTCTAAATTTTGTCTATTTCCTAGTACAGCATAAAAAAGCACTCTGAGTATGGTATGTTGCTTGGAAGAGCACTTCCATGCAGTGATTTCCCTGCTTCCCATGCTCTCCCTTGGCAGTCAGGTTGAGCTAATCTAATGTAATCATGCTCTTTATATGAATGTACATGTTTGATTTATATTGGGGGAGGGGAAGAAGAGACATACTATGTGCAAGGGAAGCAAGTGGGGCCGATTTACTTCCAGTTCTGAAGAATCTAATCTAATGGAACTTTGCTTCAATGGTGCAGACTTGTTAGACATATCAGTCCAAGCACTCACTGGCAGTAGCATCTAAGTGGGATTAAGTTAAGTCAAGAAAGCAATCTAAGCACTTAGGGAGCTGTTACAGTGGGGCTTTATTTTCCAAAGCTGCTTACCTGCCTTTCCTTTGTGGTAATCAAAGTAGTTGGCTCATATGACTTTCTTCCCATGATCCTTTGTCACAGGTCCTAGTGCCACCAATCTCATAATAGGCTCCATCGCTGGTGCCATCCTGGTAGCAGCTATTGTCCTTGGGGGCACAGGCTGGGGATTTAAGTAAGCAATGCCGCATGTCTTCTTCTCTGTGGCTCTGGCACCTCTCTTCTCTGCTTACATAACCACATTTTGAGTTCCTGCTACGAGACTTTCAGTGTTAACATCACAACTGCAAAGATTAAATACTTTCACTTAGAAGTGGGTTAGAAAAGAAGAGAAATAGAACCTCAAATGTCATCTTCATGCGAATGGGGAAACAGCTTGGAGCAAGCCTTTAGAGACACATTGGTTTATGTATAATCAAGGACACATGTATTAGAAAGAAATACATATAAATTCCTCTTTCGATCTGTTAGAAACTGGTTTATAGCCCACTGAAATGTTTTATAAGCTCAGTCACCAGGTGGCCATTGCTTTTCATGTGTCACTTTGTAAGTTGAAAAACATTATTTATTAAAATACATTCAAAATATTTTTATTAGTTCCATAACCAGCTGGTTTCAAATTAGAATTTGAAGCCAATGGCTTTGTGACATTTACTATTTTTTATTAATGCACTAAGAGTGATATAACTGACAGGACTGGTATGCTTCCATAGTGACCTTTTAGTTTGGATTGTATATTGATAACTAAGATTGCTAAAGTAGACCATACTGGATAATCAAAAATAAACTTTAATTCTGCTTACAGTTTTTAAACTTGATTTATCTAGTTTGGCTATTTTGTACCTCAGGTTCATTGGATAAGCACTTCTATAACTTTTTGTGCCACGGTGACTTGACTTTTATATTTGTAGGTAAGCTCTCCTCAGCCAGATAATCTCTGTGATAATTAGTTTCATACAGATCAGTTGGAACAAGTTTAAGTTGGAAGTAAAACCAGTAGCCCAATTCAGGCTCCCCTTTCCCTCTATCCAGCCACTCAGTGAGAAAGGTTTGCCCCGAACTAGTTGAATAATGACCTTTGTGATAATCCTTATTCTGTTTTATATTTGGAATCTTGAATTCTGTACACTTAAATCGGCTAAATGTTAGTATTAAAAACTGATCACAAAATGAAAATTATCAAGATAAGATTTAAATAAATTTGACATTTTCTGCTAATTTGTTATGGTGTTGAGCTTTGATGAGGAAGCCCATAGTGTGGGAGTGGCTTCCACTTGGAAACATTATCAAATGATGCTTGGTTTCTACACAGATATCTATGAAATTGGGCTTCTTTAGTGAAATAGTAACTTTGGCATCAGCATGCTTGCAGAAACATATGAACAAATGGGTGCCTGATATTTGGATTTCTCATCTTGGCATTAACAAGGCATTGTCCAGACTATGGGTCACTGAGGTGTCATCTCTGAAATGGTGTTTATCTTTGGGCTGGCCTCACTCCCGCTGAAATTTTCCTTAGTGTCTCACAACTGTGACGAAGTCAATGTATATTATAGAAATCCTGTACTCTATTGATTCACAATGCTTCCTTCTTTAAAAATAAATATGCCCCAAGAAAAGGAAGTTTGGCTCTTTCCCTGGCGCATACCTTCTTGGCATTAAGAAATGTCCTTTCAAAGGCCCAAGAAACCATCTCTCTGCATCATTACCATGCAGCCCCATGTGATGCCAAATGTACCATTTCTGCACTTGGAGATAAGAGCACTGTTCTGTAGCAGGACCTCAAAACAGCGGCCTGGCTAGCTCACAGCTTGAACTGCATGATTTTTGGGGAGAAGCCTTATCATTGTGTCTATAAGTGGATTAGTCTTGTCCATATGATTTATATCTGAGAGAGATGTCTAGTCGTCAGAAGATCAGGGCATAATGTGAGGGGTTTGCAAAGAGTCACAAAGGAGGTTCAAGCTGGCCTCCACTGACTCTGTGTGGGAACTGTGGTCGAGGTACATGTCTGGATGAGATAAGTCAAAACTCCTTGGCACTTCTGTGACTTTAATGACTGCCTTAAAGGAAAATACTGAAGATAGGCATACAGTAATGTGAAGTAAATATTTCCATGCCTTGAAGATAAAAGATCAAGAATGATTCCCAAATGTCTAATGTATGGAGTTTAAATTTGGAGAGGTGCTTGCACTTCTTGCTGCTAGATGCTACATGATTTGCTTTTGATCTTATAGTAGCTGTGTGGCTTATATTAAGCCTAAAACTATTACTCCTACCTTGCAATAAAAGACTTTCAGTGCTGAATGATAATGTTTAGGTTTCCCACCACTTAGGCAATTTTGGAGACTACTAGAGATCATTTGAAAGTGTTAAATTGAAAGCCTTTGAGAGTTTCTGAGTTTCAATGTAAATAAAAAGTTTTCTTTAGAAGCTGAAATTGAAAATAGTTTGCAAAGAAGATTGTTCTAAATATTGCTATTGGGAACCCTTCCTGAAATTGGGACTTATTCCTAGAAGAGAAATCAGCAAAATCACCTGAAGAATTTGAGGGTATGTAAACCAAGATTAAAGAAACAGGTGTAAACTGCTTAGAGGAGGTAGCACTTTTTTCTAATGTCACGTTCCTTTAGGTGTAATATGTTGAGTAATTTAGATTTGGGAGCAGGTCATCCCATCCATCCTCGACCTGCACAGGTAAGGTAAGCACATTAAAATGAGAAGTCAGCTGTGCTGTCAGCCTTGATACTGCCTGACTTTCTTACTGATTTTTTTTTTCCTTAGATCACATTGCTTCTGAATTAGGCGATTAAAAAACATGAGCAGATGTGGACATATGTGAGTGGGTGCAGTTTCGTGTATAGAAAGTGATGGAATCTATTAGTCTGGAGAGATAGCTTAGTGGTTAAGAACACTGGCTACTTTTGCAGAGGACCTAGGTTCAGTTACCAGCACCCACATGGTGGCTAACAACTGTCTGTAACTCCAGTTCTAGGGGCATCTGATGCCCTCTTCTGACCTCCACGGGCACTGCATGATACAGGTGTACTTAGTATACATGCAAGCAATATACTCATACATATAAAAATATAATAAATAAAATTTAAAAAGAAAGTGATGGAATTTATCAAAATTATTGTGATCTAAAGTTCACACAAATTTAAGTTTCTTCTTTTCAGTCAAATAATAGAATCTGAAATATTTGCTTAATGCACACAAGGCTTCCATATGTGAAGTTGTAGAGTTTTCAAAAAGAAACAAAAATGTTCTTTCTTTGGTTGGAGGCTTGTTATTTTATCTATTGAGATATCTTGAGCAATGTAATGGGTATGTTAGTAACATTGCTTAATCCCATATTCCATGGTCCAGAAGTCTCAGGATATTAAGGGATGATTTAGGATCCCAGGTGTTTAGGGTCTTATGCTTAACCCTGACATGTCTTATAGAAACTGAACACAAGTACATGGCACACCAACTGCCCACCTTCTCCCCACATCTGCATTTATTTTTACCCCATGTTCTGTTCTGCGTTATCACCTACACACAGAATGAAGGTGTGAGCTGTGGTAGGATTGCCAGCCTCTGTCCTGGTTGACTTATGGGGTCCCTGACATAACGCTGAATAATAACACTGCTCAATTAAACTGCCAGAGCTGTTGTTTTTACTGGATGTTGAAACACATGAAGTAAATGACAGATCATTTCAGTAACCTCTTCCCCAAACTTAGGAAAAATGAACTGTGAATCTTGCGTACGTATTTAAAAATTGACAGAGTTGCTGTTACTAACTTGAAGGATACTATTTAAGCCCCCCTAAATTTGAATATAGGAATTTAAATGTGAGCAATGCCCACAACATTTATCAGTACCACAGGTAACAGCAAAGGACGGAGAGAAGTTCTTGGCAATGGTGGGAAAAGAACATGAAGGTGACGGTGAGGAAGTTTGTGGACAGTACCCACCTTATGGGTTCCAGGGTGAATGCTGAGCTCTTCTTCCATATTCAAATGCCTTCATGATTATAATCCCATCACATGTCCAACTATCCCACCTGATTTCCATGGGAGCCGGTAGCAAAGTGGGTTTCCACCGCTGCCAACAGAGGCCATACTAGCCTGTCAGAGCATCTCCCAACAAGGCATTTATTTAACAAGCGCTCAGTTAGCACATATGGTTCCCTCTCTCTGAGAAATCACTCGAGTTCTAAATTCATAGAGCCTTCTTTTAGCTCAAAGCCATTTTGTTGGCCTGTGTTCTGCTTGGTTGCATTTGTTCTCCAAAGAAAAGATCTCCAAGGTCCTCCTATAAAATGACAGTTGAAGGACTATATTCAAAGAAGTAACTTAATCTTGATAATTACATTGTCCCCCAAAAGTCAGATGTCTTTTTTATGGGTGAGGCAAGGTATTTTGATTTTTACAGTTAGGAAATGGAATCAGTTTTAACCAGATTCTCCATGAGCAAAGCAACCAAGCTACTGCTTTTCTAAACTCCATGGTCATATTCATTGCAAAACAAGAAGCCAGAGTCCCTTAATGTCCCAGACTCCAGGTTAGGCACTTTCTTCTTCATGCTTCAGCACATGAGCATGGTGCCAGGCTGACCAGGAAGACATGAATTTCTTGACTCAGCCCCCAAGGACAGGAGCTCAGTCTAAGGTAACCTAGAGACTGGATGAGGGGATCTATGACTAGTGACACACAGGGGGATTGAGATACGAATGTGACACTAGTAAGTGACAGCAACTCTAGATCTTTATAAAAAGAACTGTAGTGGCTACTGTTACCCAGAATTTCAATTTTGTATAGATGTGTATGTATATAATATGTACAGATAAAAATCTAGGTTTTTCAGAAGCATCAAAATTTGATTAAAAATAGTGTCACTATAGGCTTATGGAGTGTATTAATATTTTATAATGATCCAGAAATGTCTTACAGGTTGTGATAAGAAAGATGCCTTCTAAATCTAGTGAGCAGAGAGAATTCAGAGGAAACTGTTTTGGAAGGAGCCAACAAAGACCCGTCTATGGCAGTTTGACTTTCACATTAAAATTGAATAAAAAGAACTTTGCTTTCATTTAGAAAATTCAGGACAGGCAGCGCTCAACATAGAGTGGCCCACAGTGGCACTATGGTTTGCCCATGAGGAAGCCCCACAGTGGGCTTGTACAGTGGTGTCCCTCTCTGCTCTCATCTGTGCCCCCCACTGCCCACCCCATATACTCTAGCTTGTTTTCCCCCAGGCTGGGACATCAGTGGAAGAGAAAAGGTCCTGCAATTCCCCATTGGTATTGTGTAGTGGAAACATATGGTTCCACAGGCTAATTTGGTTTCTCAGTCCAGTCAAAGAACTCAATAACCCTTTAGAACATTACTTCTATAAAAAGTGAGATCTAAGCTTCAAAACTGACTTTTAAAAAAGGAGCACACACTTTTGGACACTGGAAGTTTCCTGGGTGCCAGACCAAAATGGAATTCCATATTCCTATTTAAGAATAAACCCTGTTGTTGTTATGACCTTGGATGTGTCATCTTGACATTCCCTGCATTTGAATGAGAGAATTTAGATGTGGACAGTATGAGCATTTCATATGCTGTGCCAGTTTGGTTTATTTTTTCCTCTGTGTTTGGAGAAGTTGAGGAGATGTTACTTTAAATGCTTCTCCTGAGTTCTAACAATACATAGCTGGCTATGTTAGGGCCTCCAATCCTCTGTAATTCCTCGAAGTTAGCAATCAATGTGTCTTTTACATGAGTCGCCACTGGGAAATACCACTCCTTAGACATCTGCTCCAGAAGTAGGAAGTTTGGTAACAGATGCAAGTTTTGAGCCTTGCAGCAAGCTAATTGGTGGAAAGCACATTATGGAGACTTCCCATTCAGTCCCTCCTGTGTCTGCTATCCAATCAACTATGCCTGCTCTTTAGATCATTGATGCAAAAGGACTGGGTGGCAAGAAAAGACAGTTGCTTTCATGCAAAGAGCATTTGCTGAAATGCATTAACTTGATAGGCCAATGTACCACACGTTTAAATCTTTATGAGGATGTTTCAATGAAAGAATTTAAGAAATAAAAGGGGGGTATGTTAATGATTGACATTTCAAAAGAGGAGCATCAAAGTGGTCATTTGGGGAAAAATAAGAATTTTGCAGGACATCTTTTTACATATTTTAAGCTTTGGTAGTCTTTCTGTTTTGATCAACCTATGGGGGAGGAGGAATCCGTTGTAAAATTTTGGTGCTTAGGGTCTGTAAAGGCATCTGGCTGGCCCTGAGTGAGTGAGCAGGAGAATGAAGGACCTGAGGGCTTCTCAGCCTCTGGTTTTGCATGATGCCTCAGTGGCAGCAGCATTGCACCCGCCAGTATGCAAACTAATGCATGAGCCCCTTGCTTGATGCCCCACATGAAGCCAGATCACGGGGAGGTTGCAACCAACTCATGTTGTTGCCTTGTTGTGTCTTGCTGGTTCTTTTTATTTTTTTTCCTCTTTAAACACAGGAGCCACTTTTAAGGAGACTGGACGCTGTGAGAAAGGCATTTAACTTCTTCTTTCAATAAAGCTAAACTGCTGCATTTACTTGACTAATCTGAGCCTGTGTCCATTCTCCTGAGTGTACCACCCACCTGTGCACTCTGGCTATCAGCTTTCTACTATGAAAAGTGCTGGTTCCATAGTGGGGAAAGACCTCACACACCCAAGGCAGAACTAACCAAACAGAGCAAGGCTTTTCTTTTGCTGCTCGGTGAGAACCTCAGCATTGTGCAGAACTCTGGAGGCTTGGAGGAAGCAGCTCCAAGACCATCAGGATTTTTCTTCTCCCATGGGGAGAAAGGGAAGACACTTCCCTGTAGTATTTTCCCCTAGTGAAGTGGCAATGTCATTTACTCCCAAAATAAGAGACAAATCTGTGATTGAAAATGAACAATTCGAAGTTTCTTTTGGTCTTCACAAGAGTTTGTAGTCTCACGGGGAGTGTAGATAGTCAAAAGCATTGACTCTTCTGACTCCCGGTTGCCTTGGGGGCTGCTCTGTGTGAGCTGCTTACTCTGCTCTGGAATTAGCATCCTTGTCATGATCATCCTCTTTCTCCCATCATCATCTGACTAATGTTGTGGAATTTTTTCCCCTCTGCTTGCATCTTCTTTTGACACACTCTGGAAGAAATGTCAAGAAGAGGAGGTTTGATCCTACCCAGCAAGGCCCCATCTGAATCAGCTGTACTGGATGAACACCACCTTGTATTGTTGGGTTTTTGGTATGACATCTTTGCAGCCACGCTGCCAGAACTACTAAGTCTGTAAACAAGACCATTGGGTAGTAATGACTACAGAGCTAAAATTGGGGTGGTGGGAATGAGGTACAAGAAAACTCTCCCAGAAGTAACTTCAAGGAAACCCTTCCACCATCTGTCAATAAGGGGAAGGTGCCTAAAGACCATATCATTAAAAATAACTGCTCAGAATTCTTTATTTTTCTTTTTAACTAAAGGAGAAAGGAGCAACAAAAAGTGCAATAAAAGAACCATTAAAATAGAAAATCATTTTCCCCTTAGCCTGCTGGCACTTAATGTCTCCTAAATGATTTGGCATGATTTTTTTTCTTTTACTATCAATGACAAACTCCAGTGGCATGAAGATCCAATTTTGGAAAGGGTAAAAACTGCATGGCATATATACAACAACAGCTAGCAAGCCAATCTTCTGCAAAACCTACAGTGGATTCCCAAGGGGAAGATGACAGACGAATGCACAGAAGCTTCCTGGGCCTGGAAAATGCTTCCCCAAGCACCCCACCCCCCACCCCCATAACCCTTTCCTGTGCCCTACGTAGCCTGCTGCCCAATCAAGACCAGCCCATGGCAGAACTCAGCTGGAACGTGCTCTTGTTAATTCACTTTTCCCATCATTTTCTCTCCTGGACCAAGCATCGTTTGGAAATGGGAGCTGGAATTTGAACAATGCTATTGTATAGTTCTTTTATAAATGTAAATATGAAAACGAGATTTTGACATGTCATTTTCACTTGTCTGTATTGAAATCTTTTTCTTGTATAGATTCTCTAAATTTGAGTTTGTTGCTTACACCCCATCTTTTTTGTTGTTTTCTCTTCTTTCCTTCTTTGCTCTCGTACGACATGTCCAATAATTGTTGGGCTTGCTTAAAAAGACGGGTGTAGTCCCAGATGTAGGGAGTTTGGGCACAAAACAACTTAAAGCTAGGATGCTTGAAACCAAACATAAGCAAAAACGGGGAGGCCACAAACAAAACAACCTCATCAAGAACACAGTCATGTGAATGTGACTATATATGTACTGATGAGTCTAAATTTTTTTTGATGTCATCATAAACATGTATATAATGTAAGAAAATAGAGATCCTCTCAAATTAATCACAAAAGTGCCAAGCTCATGATTTTAGTGATTTTGGTTTTGAGTTTTGACGATTTTCTTTCCCGGTCTTTAATGTGAAAGGAGGGTAAACTTAAAGCCTTAAATTAAAAAATAATAGTTTTTAAATGTTGGAAATTTGGAAAGAAGTCAAGCTTTCCATTCTGTCCCCATCTATTTTTGCCACATTTCACTCACGCTTCATCTTTCTGCCTGAGGATCCATGTGGTAGACCCCATTGTGGCCGTGGTAATGGCAGCAGAGTGGCAGGTCTCCTTCTGATTGTTTCTGGCTCTCATTCTGTGTGGTGATTTCAGGAAACTTGCCTGAGCCGAAGCATTGTGCTGACCAGTAAAATGCTTCTCTGGATTGAAATGGGAGTACACCATGTATGAATTCATTCTTTGTGGGTACGATCTTGGAGCTCCAACCCCCCGCCAAGTTTCCTTCACTCTCACCCATTTCTCCTTCAAGTACTGCCAAGACAGCTTCCATTGAAGTGTCAGGTGAAAAGCTATTGAAGAAATTTGGTTCCGGCTTCATTTTAGATGTACAGACTTGTACAGAATGACTTCAGTGAGCTCTACTGCTCCAGAGCCCCCACTTCTCCACTGTCCTCTTTTTTAGGAAGAAGACATGCAGTTGTACTATGCATTTCTTCTTGGCACTGAGTTACTCACTAGATTTAGCTCTAAGTCCTTTCCCAGCAAGATTCATGACATGTTTTACAACTTTTTCCTTGACTAGAAAGAATGATTTCCTAAAAATAGACTGCTTAAAACAGTGGAATTTCCCTTCCTCCCCCCAAGATATATTTAAACATTGAAGTTTCACACTCATAGAGCAGAAACCTTAATTTCCATATGCTTCCACAGACCATAACCTAATATTTTAATCCTGTTATGGCTTTCTGAGTACTAGGTGCTATACAGGTATGCAGTCTCTCTCTTGAACTTGCTATGTTTATATTGTAATAACAGGGCTATCTATAAGCCTTACTCCTGGTTTCATAAGACACAAGTTGTATCCTTTACTTATTGGCGATAGCTCTTTCAGCTTGGAGGAGGGTTGGAGGAAACTCAGATTACTTGGTATCTCTTATCTCTCTGCCTGTTGCTACACTGCTTAGCCAGTCGTCTTCACTAGGAGATACCAAGTGGCTGCTAACCACACCATACGCATTTCACTACTATTTCAGAGGCACCATGGTGACTTATCCGACTCAAAATCATGCCGGTTACAAAACAGAGATCTCTATTGTTAACTTTTGAGCATTTCACAAAAACATTGTAAATGTGCGATGTTATGTTTTAAATCAGACCACAGTGGTCCCCAAATATTATGTAAATATGGCAAATGTCAATGTAACTTTTTGTTACACTGGCAGTTTCATAGGTAAACAAACCTATGCTCCAATGTTATTTATGTATATGTAAAATACACAAGCTTTAAGCTATATGTGTGTGTGTGATTCAAAAGGTAGTGCAGCCATACTATAAACAGGGGTACAATCATTTGGGTGGTCTTAGGTTATGTCGTTTTGAACTCTTTGCTGCATTTTCTCTGGCATATGCCGTTCACTTGCTGGTTTTTGTGGTGTGAGTACTCCTTTTTACTAATTTGAGTTAAAAAACCAGAAGCCTATCACTTTAATGTTACCCAGCAAGAGTGTTAAGTGATGAGCAAGTTCCCATTTCACCTGCTATACTTTTGCTGTGATGATTAATGGTACTGGGATGAGGAAAGGGGTGCTAACTTCATTGCTCACCTGGGATCTTGCATGAGCCCACTGAATTAGAGCTACTCCTACTGATAAGTGAGCAGTACAGATAGGTGCATGTTACAAAACATGAATCATAGAAGGGTGGAGTTTTGGCAAGTGATGTGTGTTTTCTTTCGTTTTCATTTTTACTATGCAAAGATGGGAAATGCACAAGCTTTTCAAAGACATGTCTGAAGAACTTTACAAATGATACTTGAACTCTTTAGTCATCCCATCACATTTCATGGTTATTGTTGCTTCCGTTGTTAATTTTCATTTCCCCCTAATTTTAACAGCTTGTAATGTTTAAACGTACAACTGGAGCTTTTGTTTGAAGTTAATAAACTTCTATCTTCTTGGCTGCCTATGAATGGGATTCAGTCATCCTTATATGCATCTTAGTTGAGTATGTATTAAAACTTTTACTAATGTAGAATGTTGTAGCTTTGCGCTTTGATCTGTTTTTCTTAAATCTTTTTGTGTGTGTGTGTTTTCTTGCACTGTTGATGAAATAGCCATGTGCCTGAAATCATCTGAGTTTTAGTACCAGTCTCAATCAAAGGTTCACTGAAAATTGAAGCAGTCAATGGAGCAAAATAAATCTTTGATCAATGATAAACATGTCCCTGGTTAGGACTCAGTTTTATTGGGTTCAGTGGAAATTCTTTGCATTTTGTGAATCAAATAGCAAAAAGAACCACCATGGGAATCATACCATTGTTTATTTTATTTTATATTTTTAGTGTCTATCTTCTGAGTTTAATGAGTAACATCTACACTTTGACTTGGTACCAAATTAACAATGAAGGTACACACACACACACACACACACACACACACACAGGAGGAGAGAGGAAGGTGGAGGGAAGAGGAAGGGGAGAGGAGGAGGAGGAAGAGCAGGAGGAACAACCACAACAGCAGCAGCAGCACCTGGTTTAGGTACATTACATCATCAAAAACATTTGAGTAAAGTGTTTCCTGACAGCTCATATGAAATTGGCCAGCAATTTATACTCGTTCCTAGTGAATGTTTTCAGTGTGTTTCTCTGCACCCCACTGCCATGCCTCATTTATCTGTGGGATACAACATGACACGACACACATGGATGCTGTGTTCCTTTCATCATGAAAGTCTTGGGTTTTTCATTTCCTGCAGGATGCTCTCCGAAGGTCGCCAACTTTTCTGACCTCACCCCTACTTACTTTCCTAGCCTCTCTGACTCTCATCTTCTCTTAGTCATCTGAAGTCTCCCCAAAAGAACCTCTGCTACCCAAATCTGAATAATCATCTTTAAATTTTATGTCCATTATTCATTTGTTTCTATGTAATTTCGGGGAATAAAGGAAATGCAGAAACAGTTAAAATAACACAAATGGTGTGCTTAGGAAAGTAAGTCCAGAGTTCATTTATATTTGACTTTAAAGGAATGATCTGATTTTTTGATATGCTGCCCTTTAAGTCATTCTGTTGAAGTTGACACTGAAACGAGTTCTCCATGCTCCCTTGGTAACTGACTGAGAAAACTGACCCAGAAACTGGAAACTCCCTAGGTAAGAGAACAGCTGCCCTGGGGTTAAAAACTGGCTGTGAATAATTGAGTTGATAATCCATATTCTCAAGATAGAATTCTTGAATAACTGAAAATTTAAGGTAGCTGTCCTATAGGTTAAAACAAAAGTGTTAAAGACTTCTCAATTTATTCATTCACCAAATAATAAGTCTGTCTGCCAGGAACGCCTGGAAACTGAAGGAACACAAGAAAATTCTAGCCTAAGGTTGTTCATAGTTAAGCAGAAAGAGAAAAATTTAAAGTACAATTCCCTGATTCCAAAGCAAAATAAATTTTTTTTAGAACTGAGAGTAAAAAAGAAAGTGGTGGGCAGGTAAGGATACAGGAAGGCTTCTGGACAAAAGTAAGTTTTGAACTATCTTGAAAGATATCTATGGTGGGGCGTGGTGGCTCACACCTTTAATCATCTCTGTGAGTTTGAGGCCAGCCTGGTCTCCATGGCGAATCCAGGCCAGCTGGGGCTACAGGGAGACCGTGTCTCAAAAAGACCAAAAAAAAAAGAAAACAATTCCAACAGCTAAGAAGATTTTGTTTCTCATTAAGGAAAAAAAGTTCATCACTCTAATAAAATGAAAAACATACTCAAGATACAAGAAGCAACATATACAAAACCAGCGGAAGGAGCCAGACCTCTCCTTAGGGTAGGTAGAGCTAAGTGTCGGATGCACTTTCCTTCCCACCTTTAACAAACACTGTGGCCCTAAGTGCACAATGATGAGCTCTCAATTTTGTGGGCAAGATGCACCCTTTAAGCATAATGTGATCATTCCCAATAGGATGTGAAGTGCTTCATGAGTGGAGGACAGCTTTATCCTTGCTCCTGGGATTAGAAGGGTTTCAGTGAGGAGGTGGGTTGTCAGGAAAAGACTGTGCCTATGCCACATACAACGTGGCCTTAAGTCCACGTTATAGTCAACAACGGCACATTCATTTTTGTAGGGGGAGGTCTATTCATAAATTCCTTGGAAGTAGAACAGCCTGTAAGGTCAAGATCTAATTATTCTAGATCTCTGGGTATTGTGCCTGTGCCAAGGTTCTGATGTCCATTAGAACCTCATGTTTTTAGTTTCCCACTAAGATGCTCAACATGAATCAGTCTTCCATGCCTAAGATGATCAGTAACGACAAAGAGGACTTCTTGACCTGGACTATAAACCTTACAATATTTTTTTCCATAAAGATTCCTGGCTAAGGTCAGTCTAGAGTGAGGGGGTGGATAAGAAGATTCACAAACAGTTCAGGCATCATTTAGTAAGACCTCCCATTAATGAAAGGTCAAAATCATTTCCCAAGGGCAACCACTCCTCCAGACCATCTACAATTAGGATTTGCCTATCTGCTATGCCTTAGAGAGAAGGTTATCATCTTTGAACCTTTTCAGAAATCAATTAGTAGTTCTGGCTTCTTTCCTAGGACAAGTTCTTGGCCACACATGTGACTTCTGAAGGGAAAGGAGAGGAAATACCGTCGTCTCTTGTCGTCTCTTGTCACATGGAATAGTTGTCTTCCTGGGGTCTGGGGATGTTCCCTTTCCAACCGATTGCATATGCACACATGCTCCCTGGTACAACTGTAAGACCATAGTCATGACACCACAGAGTCCACTCCTAAGAGAATATTCATTTGACTGTAGTGATCACTGAAGCATATATTGACATGCTACATCAATTAGCCACAACAATACAAAGTATCTCCATCCAGAAAAACTGACTATATGAGAGTTCTTCAGCTCTCACTGGTGCCTTAAGTAGCTTCTGGTCTTCAGGAGGTAAATGAGCAGCAGCAAAACTGCTTCAGTTCCTGGTCTCAGGATGAAGACAGAAAAATTGACTTGGTTTGTAAATTACATCAGGGAGGCCTCTGTTTCACAGCAAGGGACAAAGCCTTGTAAAATCACTGTAACTAGCATAGATGCAGTGAATGACCTGTACCTCCTGTAACGGCAGTGAATGGCAGGTGCCTCTCATTCAGGCAGTGGATGGCACACACAACAAGTTTAAAGTGCCTTTTCTCTGTAGGTCAAGTAGCTACAAAGCAAGGATCACAAAGCATGTTTCCGGGAGTCAGATACCAAAGTGAACGGAAGAGGGCAGTACAGGAGACAAGATGGGTGAGAGTGCTTGAGCAGAGACCTTGTGGAATCCAGCAGCTTCCGCTGCACTCCAGACAATAGTTACTCAATGGAAAACAATCCTGCATCGCCAGTTGCATTTATTTTGCTAGCACAGCCAGAAATCCAGATCTTTACAAAAAACTCTTTCCCCCAACAGTGGTGAAGCCCATTCTTGCTGTACAAATAATTTGTGTGGATCAAGATAGTATAAATAGAAACTATCTTTACATAGGATTAAGCCTACTGGCCCATAGACTGCAGTTTAAGCCTAAAATAATAGGGCAGGTCTATGTGTGGTCCTTTGTAATTGTCTGGTAGTTCTATGAATATGCAGATGTAGCCTTGCTTTGCAGTCTGAGTGACAGGCTACCATGTGAAGAGCCCTGTAGGTGTAGGCTTAGTGGCTACCAAAATCCTGGCTCCAGAATAGTATCTTGGGAGCAAGAAAAATACCTTTTAACCTCTTGATTTTGGTTCAGCCTATTTCCACTTTTTTAGCCAACCTTCCAGTGCCTCCACAGGGCAAGCACATCCCTGAGTGTCACCTCAAACATCGGCTTCATAATATCACTCCTGATCCTTCCAGAACTCTCTATGCACACAGAATATTCAGAAGGTCAAGCTAGTAGTGCGGCTGGGCTGGAAGCCCAGGCATTTTCAGCTCCAGAGTCCATGCTTTGATAGCTCTCATTCTTAGGCTCTTAATCCCACTGTACAGGGGACAGAACTCACAGTTGGTGATGTTAGCACTATCCTGGAGATCACCATTCCACAGTGGCAGTGCCAGGAACATGGCATGGAGAGTTCCAGTCTAAGTCCTTTTCTGGCCTAGGAGAATATGGAACATGGCACATGTGACACAGTTGAGCAGGAGGGGGCAGCGTCAGAAGTTCCTCAGGCAGAATCACCTGCTGCCTCCCTTCATGGGCTGATTCTGCTCTGGGTGTGCGGATGGTGCCAACCATCAGGATCAGGGGAGAGTTGTCAAGCTGAGGGGATTGGTTTTAGAAACACTTGACTTTTTAAAGATGAGTCCTAACCTTTTCTTAAAACTAGAGAAGAGGGTAGGGGGAGGTAGGGTGGATAGACCCAAGGAAGGTTGCAGGTTAATTCCAAAAGCACTTCACTTGAAAATGACAGATATTTTCAAGAATTGGTAAGAGAAGAAATGGGACTTTTCTGTTATGTATGATGATTTAAACAGTTTTCTGCTACAAAATTTATGAATGGAAAGTAATAAGAATACTACTTTCAACCCCTTATTAAGAAGAAATTTTAACATGTAATGCAAATGTCTATTAAGTAAAAGAATTTTATTTGGTTGTTGCAGGTCAGAGTTACATTCAGACTGTGCCATGCAGGATATTATAATTTGATAGAAAAGCTAGGAAACATAGAAAGAATCTCATTTATAATGAAAATGTTCTACACAGTAAGGAAAATACAGATAAACAACTATGGACAGTCAACAGAGAAAGATACATATTCCCACAAGGAGAGAGCATTTCAGCTGGATCTGAACAACGGGTAGAACTGTGGACATGTGGGAATGGGGAGAGATGTTATGGATTATCTCCACGTTCAAGGGCACTTTCAAGTTCAGCTGAAATAACCATGGTCAAGACACCAGTGACTTAAACACAAGGCAAGTTTCCCTCTTGCTTAGTAGCCTGGAGCTGGAATGATGCTCCATAGTTCTTCCATCTTCTTGCTGTGAAATCATGAGCACTAGCTACTATCACAATGAATAAACTAGGTGTCTCAGGTCCCACCACTGACTGCCTTCCAGGAAGCAGGAGGGGAAGAAAGAGACATGGAAGGCTTCTAGATACCAACCTGACAAGTCACACACATTACTTTTTAATCACCTTTTTTACAGATCTAGTTGCCAAGTGTGCTGGATAGCTTTAGTGTCAACTTGACACACCTGGGATAAGGG